GCTCCCAGAATGCAGGGTTACTTGTGGTTCCTAGAGTCTCCAAAAGTAGACTAGGAGCCAGAGCGTTCAGCTATCAAGCTCCTCTCCTGTGGAACCAGGTTCCAGTTTGGGTTCAGGAGGCAGACACCATCTCCACCTTTAAGAGTAGGCTTAAGACTTTCCTCTTTGATAAAGCTTATAGTTAGGGCTGGCTCAGGTGAGTCCTGAACCATCCCTTAGTTATGCTGCTATAGGCCTAGACTGCCGGGGGATTTCCTATGATGCACTGAGCTCCTCTCTCCTCTACTTTCTCTCCCTCTGTATGCAACCTCATCCCATTATTGCATGTTACTAACACAACTTCTCCCCTTTCCGGTAGTCTTGTGCTTTCTCGTCCCTCTCCTCTCTCCTCCTATCACTTCCTGCAGGTTTTCTGGCTCTGGAGCTGTGGAGTCTGGATCTGTGGCTGCGGGTCACCTGCTGCCCCCGTGTTCCTGCTCGGCGCCCTCTACTGCAACGACTATTACTATTACTATTACTGTTACTAGTCCTACTATTATTATTGTTATTATAATCATTAACATTATGATTATTATCATTAACACTACTATAAATATCTGTACCATTTTTCATTTAGTCTATAGCAAGATCACCTTTACTGTCTGTACCTCTGTGTGTATATTGTGTAGGCTGCCTCCATCCCCTCTCTCTCCTTCCATCCCTCTCTTTTTATATAAATAAAATTTAATTGAACTGATTTGATGTTTAAGAGTCCACATTTAATTTTCCTATTGTTTTGCACTATTGCTCTTGTGGTTTTAATTTTTATGAGGTTTTTATGCACAGCTCCTCTTCGGTTTACCTTTAATTTAAATAATTTCGATGGTCGGGGGGCAGACACCGTCACTATAGGATTTTCACTAAGTAACTCCTGAAATGGAGGAGCAGAGAAGTGTGTTAGACTCTGCCTCCTGGTCTCAACTCTGGGTTGTCATGGATTTGGTCCACTAATAAACTTGGCCAGATTTCTAGATATGAGAGCTGCCCCCTCCCAAGTGGAATGGATGCCGTCTCTCCGAATCAGACCAGGTCTTCCCCAGAAAGTCTTCCAATGATCTACAAAGCCCACATCGTTTGCTGGACACCACCTCGACAACCAGCGGCGGAATTACGACATGCGGCTATACATGTCATCACTGGTCAGATTTGGCAGGGGTCCAGAGAAAACTACGGTGTCCGACATTGTTTTTGCATATGTACACACCGACTCAACATTAATCTTAGTGACCTCCGATTGGCGTAACCGGGAGTCATTACCAACGTGAATAACAATCTTACTGTATTTACGTTTATCCTTAGCCAGCAGTTTCAAATAAGACTCAATGTCGCACGCTCTGGCCCCAGGGATGCACTTAACTATAGCCGCTGGCTTCGCTAACTTCACGTTTCTCAAAATGGAGCTGCCAATGATCAGAGTTGGTTTCTCAGCGGGTGTGTGAGTGGGGAAAATCTGTTAGAAACGTGAACAGGTTGGTGATGACCCGTGGGCTTTGACTGCTTACGACTATTCCCCCTTCGGACAGTCACCCAGCCCCCCCTTCCTGGCTGCACAGGAGATGCCGGGGGACGGCTACCACAGGCTAACTCAGGCCGTTCCGCACCGACTACCGGGGACTGGCTAGCTACAGTAGCTAAAGACTGGTCCACCAAGGTGCGGAGCCGGACTTCTAAATCACTGAGCCTCGCCTCCATGTCTAAAAATAAACTACACTTGTTACATGTACCATTACCACTAAAGGAGGCAGAGGAGTAACTGAACATCTGACACACCGAGCAGGAGAAAGTAGGAGAGCGAGAAGGAGAAGGAGAAGCCATCGCTAGCTGCTGAGCTAAAGTAGCTAATGGCTAAGCTAAAGTACTGTAGCGTTAGCTACAAAAACTTTTGAACAACTATGAGATTGAACAGCAGTCACTAAAAGATGGAAAGAACTGTTGAGTGTTTAGGCAAAATTACTGTAAGAATAAGTGTTTAGCGGACAGTTGTAATCTAACAAATGTAACTGGTATTTAGCGAGAGCAGCACAACACGGTACCAACACACAAGCACTAAAAACGGAAATGAGTCGACACGCTTACCGCAGTACGTCAGCAACGTCAGCCAGTCTCACTTTTTTTTTTATTGAAACTCTCCATGTCACATTACCGCTTGGGCACAAACTCGATTCACAGCACAAGAAGGGTCCACTTAATTAATTAAATAATTAATCTATCTCACGGCACTCACTGGCAGCGTTGGGAGCTTTTTGCTGTAACGCAGTATTAGGCCTATGACGTGTTACTAAAAAATAATCGGCAAATACCCGTTACAATCTCAGTAAAGCGCGTTACAATGCAGTTTAAGTTGAAATTAAGTGGTGTTTTTTAGTAATTCACCATTCGCCGAGAAATATTTCAGCACCAGAAAAACAAATCTATGAGTAAAATTTCCTGTTGCGGGAATCCAGTGGTCGAGATTGTAGTCAGGGTGCAAACTACGGGGGAGCTCAGCTCCTCCTGACAAGACATTAGCTCCCCTGATGGATCATGAGTAAATAGGCTGTGTGTTTGTGCTTTAACGAATTACTTTCATGATCAGAGAGGCTACTGTCGGTTCATCCTGACCGATCATGTCTGAGTGTTGGGAGATTCAAATAATTAATGGCGCTGTACTTCATGCATAAATGCGCACAGCGTCCTTCTTAATGGGGAGACGATTCATCCCATTTCCCCCATCCACCCCGTCCCTCCCGACGCTATTAATCAGAAGCTTGTTTTTTATGTCAAAGACCCACCTGATCCATGGATATGACTCCGCACATCACTAGAACCCATGCAGCACATCTTATCAGAATAACGCGCCCATTAAATAGCTGTGAAAGTAACTCAAAGTAACACAAAAGTAGTGTAAAGCATTACAATTCAGAGACAGTTATATTGTAATATAACTAATTACTCTCAAATGCCAGTAACTAGTCTATAATGTATTACATTTTGGAAGTAACTTGCCCAACACTGCTCGCTGGTGTCGCATCAGGTGCTGGATGCTAAGTTGCTTTTAGGGCAACACAGACAGCGGAATATCTGCCTTGTGAATGTGTAAACACGGCGATAGAAAGGCGTTCACGGTTTGTTCCTCAGAGAAATTAATCTTTTAAGAGAAAGACATTTTCCACGGTAGGCCTAATATCAAGAAAGAGAGCTCCATTTTCCAGATTTTACACAGTAAACGCCACGTGGCTGAAATTTTACAGATGATCGGTTACTCTGACTTCCCGTTCCCATGAAGGCAGCACAGAGCTGCGCCACAAGAAGCTGACAGAAAACACCATAGAGAAGAGTAGTTATGATTCACAACGTATTGTCCAGTCGTGGAGTAAACTGGCAGGTTTTAATGTTGCAGACCACAGTAAATATTTGGTGTAAACTGGCCTTGAAACATTCACCTCAACAAACGCACCCCAAAAGAAGCTCAGCGCCTCCTAACTCTGACATCTCTCCCTGTGTTGCTATGGGTCCTGTTTGTGCATGTGGATGTCTTTCAGACCAGTGTGTAAATACTAACATAATAATAATAACAGAGTGAAAATACTGAGCTTCCCCTCGCAGGATTAATAAAGTATATCTTCTTCTCCTTCTTCTTTTGTCCTGTCTCAGGCACCGTAGCGATACAACTCGCTTGGATAGAGGAGGGGGGGGAGCAATTTGCAACTCTCACCACTAGATGTCACTAAAACTTTACTCACTCCTTTATATGCATTAAAAGGTGTAATGTGTAATTGAGACTACTCTCCTCCTTACAAAAAAAAAAAAAAAAGGGGCAAGCATATCACATATCAGGTCAGAACTGCCGTTAGGTCACTTAGCCATGCAGCTAACTTAGTGGTCCTATTAGCTGACTGAGCAGGGAATGGGCACGTGAACTGGAGCCAGGCAAGCAGGCAATGGTACAGGGCTCAGCAACCTCCCAGTGAACATGGCTGGACCGGGACCAAACACAGCCTCTTAGACTTCGCTCTTCTTCTTGTTTTCCGGCTGGAAAGTCTTTTGCTCTTAGACAAATCTTCTGCTTTTTAGACAGCTCAGTGCGGAAGAAAAATGGGAGCCGAAGACTGGGTGCGGACGTAGGAGAGGCCCATGCTGTGGGTGGGCGTAGACCAAATTTATCAGTGCTGCGCAGGCGTGCGTAGGGGTAAACCCAATGGCGATGGCCTTGTAGGGCAAAGCCTATACGAAATAGAATCAGCTGTTCCGTTTGTTTTGGAGAACGGGAGACCTACTTTGGCTCCGTGTAGAACCCTGTATTCGACTCCATGTAGACCCGTGTATTTAGCTTAACTCCATCAGCTATTAGCTGTAAACACACCGCAGGACTGGCTGCAAACTGGCTGCTATTTTTGAGCTATAAATTTAATGCCTACGATCTGAGGCTGACATTGGCGAGACTTGTGTGTGCTATCTGACTGTTGATTGTGATTTATTTATTTAAAAGAGATGAGCAGTAATAGCTGTTGAAGAAAGTGTTCTTCAACAGTAGCAAAACACCCAAAATTCTTGAAGTGAGTAGCCTGCAAGGCAAGCCCATCCATTGCGATGAGCCATACAACCTCCTTAAGTGTCAGATAGTCTAATCAAATTTAACATTAATAATATTTCAAATAAATAAATATTTCAGAGACTACATCTTTCTAGTAGGATTGCTAAACTTTATCCAGAATTTGATCCCAGCCTGTCATTGGTGTAAAATTAATTCTAAGGTTCATGAAATGTCTGTGTAAAAACTTTTGTATGTTCAACAAGGTCAGGGACCCAGAACCAAGTTAGGCACTTCTTCGACAGGCATGCAGTGCACGCAAATCACGGAAAACTCCAGAACACATTTTCAAGGCACCATTTTCCCAACCAATAGATGGTTGAATAATGATGTAGCTCTGGGTTTTATACTGTAGCAGGTTGGTTTGAAGAAAAAAAAAAGTATGTGTTACCTGTACAAAGGTCCTGCTGGAGCCAATCCAATTGTCTCACTCTCACCTCACCACCTGAAAAGACAGATAAAAGACAGATAAACTGTTAAAAGCTTTTTGTGGGTTTTTATTGAACTCTACAGTTAAAGTCAAAATGTAACAGTTTCCCCCCTCATTAAACAATTTTATTTTAATAGGAATAGAAAAAATATATAAATACAATACAAAAATAAGCAATCAATGTATTATTTAGCAACTGAATGCATTGTGAGTCAAGGTGAGAAGATAGATCTATTTGTGCAGGCTCACTGCAGCAATTTTACACACAAAAACTAAACTGAAGAATGAATGGTGATACAGTATATGCACAGAGGATATTATTAAAAGGCTACTAACGCTCTGTGCTGCAATCCTTTAATGCCATCTGATGAAATATAGGATTTTTACAATGATGATAATTCCATCAGTTAGCCGAGTTAAAGTCTGAAAGGGACGCAAATTCACGCCTAATATCAGGGAAAGGCAAGCTGGAACCCTGCCATCTGACATTATCCTGGCCTTATGCTGGTTGTTCAACAGGTGCGGTGCTCCACAATAGACTAAGTGCCAGTGGTATACACTCCTCTTCTGTTCAGGGGGGCTGATGAATTAGGAATAGTTAGCGTGAGCAAAAATAACACTGCTGGTTTGAATGTTTGATAAAGTAATAACATATGATTTAAAGTGAAAAGTAAATGTGAGACAGAGTGTACACACATTCAATTTTATATTGATATTAAACATTCTCCAGATAAAGAATCAAACTTTAATGGTGTATCAGCATTTTTTCATAGACTACGTCATTGACATAGCATAGAAACTGGAGTGGAGACGTTATTTTGAAACATTTGGTGAGTTTTGGTACTGGAGTTTACTGACAAAAGACAAAAGACAGACAAAAGTTTGTGGGACGGTCTGCACATTCTCACATCAGGTACATTTTTATACATCACACTTGTGCATGAAAACCTGCGTACATAACCTTTTTGTGAGTACTCAGCATTTATACATGAGGCCCCAGGTGATTTCTTTATTGTGTGTTGTACTGATGTGTGTTTTCTTTAACAACGTACTTTAATGATTAGAGAGGTTGCTGTCAGTGCATCCTGACCGATACTCTCAACGAGTCGGAGATTTAAACAATTAAAGTTACACTTCTGAGCCTTGTGTGTAAATGCCCACAGCATCTCTCTATTAATATTAAGATTGTATAATAGATTGTATAATAGTCCTATTGTTGTTGTTGTTGTTGTTGTTATTATATATGCAACATATAATATTGCAATGATTATTATTAATATTCATTTTAATGATATTTTTATTATTAATGGTATTACCACTACTAGCTGCTATACTACTACTACTAGCTGTTATTTGTATTTTACATGTATTTATTGTTTCTAAGGGCAGCTACTACTATGCACTACGCACTTTTGAGTCCATGACAAATTTCCCCTAGGGGACAATAAAGTACATTCTATTCTATTCTACTATTACTACTATTTTATATCTCTGTCAAACTTGCGTGTTGTCTTTCCTCCTGCTTGCAATGGAGAGTGAGCATCCTTGTCTAATGTCCTTGTGTTGCATATTGATGCCATTAACAGCTGGATGACTGTGGACATTACTGTAAGGTTTTGATTAGATGTTTTTTTTCAGAAGTGTATTCTGAATTGAGTCAAAGTACTATTGCTTCCTGTATGTAAGCAAGGGAAGTGTGTTTTAATTTATTATGACAATTTCTCCCCTACTGATATTATCACAAAATGACAAATCTAATGACAAAGTAAACTAAAAAAGCAGGACTTTCACGGAAAGAGCCACAAGCTCATGTAGCATTTGACAGGTACAGTAATGAGTTAAGTTTAATGAAAGGAAGGAAGAAGATTGTTTTATGTTTTCTTACAGGCTGCAATAGTGATAGACTTAAAAAAAACAACAACAAGATTTTCTGTTAAAGCCTAAATTTGTGACCTCAGTGAATCTGATGGATGTCTCGCTCCCTCTCCTTTTGTAGTGGATCTCATCAGTTTCGTCATTTATTGGGTAGAGAATTCTGATGCCTACTTCATTAAAATTTACTTATTTATTAAGGTATTTAACTACTCTTATTATTGAGAAAAATATTGATACATTTTGTTAATTTGAAGGAGACAGCGTTAACTTACAAATTACACTCTCATAGTGAAGCTCTCCACTGCTGGACGAAAAGGATGAGATGTCATTGGTATATCTACAGGTCCCCCAGGCCAATTCAAGAAGTGTATGTTAATACTGCCCATGGCAGCTGGAATTGGAAATAAGGAGGGAATGAGGGGAATAGAGTAATCTGACAATGTTATCTCACCTGCAGGCTCCATAATGTGTCTATTTAACGACACATTTCTCTTGCACATGCTTAGAAGGTCTTCTCCCACATCTGTAAAACAAATTAGGTCTTTCAGCAATGAAAACAAAGATAAGATATCTACATGAGACAACTCCAAAATAGCTTTGCACTGTCATACCTATCCAAAGGGCAGAAGAGCACACTTACTGTAACTGTTAGATGCACTGAATTTAATTCAATTAAATTTATTTATATAGCGCCAAATCACAACAACAGTTATCTCACAGCGCTTTTCATAAAAGAGCAGGTCTAGACCATACTCTGTGATGCTATTTACAGAAGCCCAACAGTTCCCACCAAGAGCAAGCACTAGGCGACAGAGGCAAGGAAAAACTTCCTTTTAAGAGGCAGAAACCTCGAGCAGAACCATGGCTCAGGGTGGGCGGCCATCTGCCTCCACCGGTTGGGGGTGAGAGAGAGAGAGAGAGAGAGAGAGAGAGGGCTGCACTTTATTCTTTATTTCCCTAAATGCAGTTTTCACCTTTATGACAATATAATGAGTAGCACTAATAATTTTAAACTATATAATTGATTTTTGTACATTAAGGAATCACTCTGAAAAAGACTGACTGGCATATAATACTGACTCACAAGGAAAATGTGACTTCAACATCAAAAATCAAAGCTACACAGCTTTGGCAATATTGTTGTTATACATTCATGCCAATAAAGCTAATTTGAATTTGAATTCATTCAAAAACAAATATAGTGATTGGTTTCAAGTCAAGCTTCAGCATGAAATACGTCCTTTTAATTTAGTATCAGTGTTACATATCAGAATCAGCTTAGTTGGCCAAGTATGTTTACATAAACGAGGAATTTAACTGTTTTCTGGTTCTCAGTGTACTTTCACACAATTACAAGAACAATGTTCAGGAAGACAGACATTTAGACAACAAGCTAAACAAAGATCAGCAAATGGAAACATAACATAAAACAAGTGCATGAAACAAATTTATATATATATATATATATAAACATAAATGGTTTATGTTGGTTATGGTTTTTCATGTTATAACATGAAAGGTTTGTTGTTATAACAAGATATTTTTCATGTTATAACAAGATATTTTCACGTTATTCTGACATACAAACAAATCACGTTATAACATGATAAGTTTATTGTTATGACGACGATACACAGCCTGACTGCTGCTTCATCACTATTTTTATATATGTCTGCATGTACAATATTGACTCAAAATAGGAAGTGTTACATTGATCTGCGTTTTCACTGGTATTTTTCTTCTACAGGAACAACTGCAGCAAGTTGCACATTTGTGGAATACGCACATTATCCGAGGCAGCAGAAATGCAGTAGCTCCAAGGGGACGCCCAATTCTCATGTATACCATCCCTCGTCTATTTGGAGGACAACATCACCTGAAAGAGGTCTCTCAGGAAGCAGTGGAGGCTTGTAAACCCGAGTGCCAACAGAGAGGACCTTATCCTCGCGATGAAACAGTTTTCAGCTTGTGTTGCCTTATAATGGCAGAGAACTTCTTACTCTCACCCACCATGGCAGATGAAGCCAGAGAGCTATATCTCTTCTTGAGAGCATACATTCAGAAATACTTTTAAATTACACCAGGAATTCTGACCAGTGGATTAAGGCAGGGCTACATTATGTCAACTGATCCCGTGGTTACTTTTGAACATTTTTGTGAGGTAAATATCCAAAACAAATAATCACAATGTTTCAGTGCAGAGTAAAAATGTGTGGTTTCAACAAAATATTTAACCTACCCTGTACATTTGGCCATTAAAACTACTGAAATGGGTTAAGGTCCCTGAGGTCAACAATTCAATTCAGTCCCACATGGCAGTTCATGTGGTGTCATCAGGGGAAGAGGTCCTTGCCTGCTGAAAAAATCTGAGACTGTTTTGGACCCACAAACAAATGAAACAAAGATAAAACATAGACTAGTGTTTGTTAATGGTCTAAGAAGAGGATGTCCAAGTGCCTGATGCTGGCCTTAAATTTGACATATAATAGGCTTACATTTTGAAAGACCTCCCCTTAATGTACTTTAAGATAGTGATCCAAAAGTGATTCTCATAAATTTGTGATTATGGAGTGTCAAAAACATTTTTTGTTTTGATGTGATGGCCCCAGACTGAATGGTTGATATGGAGTGGTTAGCCTGCAATGAGAGGAGCTTCTGAATAGGAGGGCTGCAACTAAGGATTATTTTCAATATCGATAAATATGTCAATCATTACCTCAAATAATCGATTAGTTGTTTGGTCCATAAAAATGTCAGAAAATACTGATAGCCCAAAGAGATGTTTTCAAATGGCTTATTTTGTCTTCAACCCAAATATAGTCAGCTTACTGTCATAGAGGAGTAAAGAAACCGAAAATATTCACATTTCATAAACAGAAATCAGTGAATTAAAAACGTCATGTGTCATCAAAAAATTATAAATCAATTATCAAAATAGTTGCCAATTAATTTAACATTTGACAACTTATGACTTCGATATAATAAGTTAACGGAAGAGGGATGAAGTGTTTGCCAAGATATTTCTAAATAGAAATAGAAAACGCTGTAATATTCTTTGTGGGCTTCATCAATGGTGACAAATTATTCAAAGTATATATTTTATGAATGTTTAGAGTCTTTAATATTTTAATACACTTAGTAGAAGTACCATTCCTTGACCTTCAGTAAATATATATGGCGATAAAGGTGTTTGATCAAATAACAGTGTGTTTGTTCAGTTATGTTTACCAATACCAGGATTTGCACTTTCTGCTTCAGGAGAAGGGGCACCAAACACTCTCAACTTAAGGGCTTTTCCTTGTATTTCTCAAGGGTTTGTATCCCTTTATTTTTGTTATCAACAGTGTGAGACATTTTTCACTGTTGATACAACATTTGCCAAATCTCTGTGCTTTCAATGTGAATTCAATTTGAATTTTATAGTTTTGATTTGGGATGACAAGATTCAAACTACCAACAGTTCCACTTATTAACAGATTTTTGTGAACTGCTAAAATATAAACAAATCACAAATGTCAATAATATGTAAGAATAAATAAACAATTTCAGAGATCAAGTAACTTCTTTTTTAATTATTTCATTTATAGAGAACAAAAGCAAGAGGTATTGATTCTTGATATGCTTTAATGGCTCAAGCTCCACCCCCTATGGATATACATAATAATAAAACATAGGAGGAAACAAACATCTGCCAGAAAATGACCTAAAGTGAATATTCAGGTTGAAAGGTGCAACTGTGCATTTACTTTTGTATTTATGTAGTAACAACATGCAGAGCAGCACAGCAACGTCACAAAGTGATGTGTCTACCCAAAAACTCAAGTCTAAAACCATAGGTTTCTGTTAAGGTCAGTGCAATTACTCTTACTAAAACTTGTTAAAAACAAGTACAAAAAATACAGCAGTACAAATACAAATCATCGGCCCTCACCAACCCACACACTCATTCTCTCTCTCTCTCTCTCTCTCTCTCTCTCACACACACATCAGATCTTGTACTCACTGCTTTCTGTGGGAACTCATCAACAGGTAACAGAAACAGCTTTTAAAAAACAAAAAAAGAACATGCCTGCTTTGAACAAACAGCAGCAAATAAAATTTGATGTCCGAAACTATAGACTGCTGTTTAGGTCAGTACAACTGGTGTAGCTAAACTTGACAAAAGCAAGTTAAGAAAACAAAAAGCAATAGCAGTACATAATCAACCCAATCACTCACTCCCTCAACTCACCAGCACACACGCACACACACACAGCTTTAAAAAGGAACATACCTGTATAGAACAAACGATAATAAAAAGCTGTGTGTATTTCTACATTTCTAAACATTACGTGCACGTCCAGCTATCAAGCACAGACAGGTACTTTATTGTTTCCAATGTACTTAGCAAATATTACTCTGACAGTTAAAACTTAGAAATGAGGTCTAACAGTACCCTCAAACGATACTGCAAACGCAGCATTGTTGATTACATATTTTACTATTGTTCAAAACATCTCAACTTCTTATTTTAAAAAGCCCTCTGTCTTTGTCATTGAAACATTCAGTATTGGAATCCTTTAGTTCCTTGATGGCAGACATGTATATTCACTCCAAATGCAACTCCTTTTCTTTTTCATGTTACTATGCTTTGCCTTGTGTGTATGTGCTGAATGGATCTAACCATTCACATATAATGGATTCATCAGCCCTCTTCATTAATAGGCTTGGCCCTGAAAAAATGAAATTGACCTAAGCTATGCGGAACTTTTAGCGACCAGTATACTGTCCATTTCAGTGCGTAGTTCTGGGTAGGAAGTGTATGTCCATGGCAGTTCCAGAGCTGGCCCATAAGTGTGTGCTACTGGTCGCCGTGCCAGACCATCTACTGGTGTGAACAGGACCTCAATCTTGTTGACACAGATAATATCTGACCCTGTGACAAACCTTAACATCCTTCTCAGTCCTGCATCATCCAGTCCTCTGATGTACTGTTGCAGAAAATGAAAGCTCTGGTTCTCTGCTTGCGTTGCAGGAGATGCATCCAGCAACTTCAAAAGCTTCCTTGTTGTTGGCTTTTTATCTTCATACATTCGCAGGACATGCTGTGGGCTCACAGATGCTTCTTTTAGGAAGGGGCTAGCAATTAATGACATTTTTTCTGCTGCATATCTTGGTTTTTGGATCAAGTCTCGAGTTGGAAGTACTGTTACATCCAAGCGGTCCAAAAGATCAAGTAGTTCATCCCTGTCCTCATCTAAAAGATCTTCTTTTAAGGCAGTGGTAATCAGATCCCTATCTGACTGATTTATGTACAGGAGAAGATTTTCAAACAGCATATCATCTGAGACTTCTTTCTCACCAAAAATAAGTGCCACTGTGAAAACAGGGGCAAGCCGACACGGAAAGTTTCCATGATCTTGAAATCCCTTGAGTAGAATTCGGCCAATGGATTTCCACTCTTCTTCCTGCCATTTAGGAGACAGTGATGGAACCCTCAGGTCCTCCCCTTCAGCTGTGTGGTCCATAAACTCCAAACCAGCCAAACCAAAATGTAACATACACATCCCTTGAGACACCATCTGCGTCAGCTTCTTTTTCATCTATGTAGGTGTATTTTAGGGGGTGTTTGAGGAGTGCTGGATCCTTGAACTGGTTAATCATCTCCTCCAGAAGATTGACCCTGTGAAGCTTTATTGTGACACACACAACATCATATGAAGCAGTAGAAGTCCTTGACTCATCACCAACAGATGTTGTGTCTGGAGTAACGGGTGCTGTGCTTGTTGGGGGAAGCGTGATGACCAGCTCATCTCCTTCAAACTGTAGGCTGGGTTGCTATATCAAAGTGTCCTCCATCTGACTAGTCATGAGTTCTCCAAGGAAGGGGCCAAACATCACCTCAGATGTGTCTGATAATGCATCTACATCAACATCCTTTAAATCTTTTGACAATATGACAACAGTTTGAGTAAATTGTTCATCTTCTTCATGTGTGTCTCTCAATTGTTCATCATTGTTTAAATCAGATGTATCACCATCCTCATCTGTCAGGCTCTTGGTGCACAGGTAAAATCTTAACACTCCCATTCTAAGTACCGTGTACAGTTCCCCAACTGTGATATCTTCATCAAACACAGCTTCCTCCTGATAGTCTAATATGTCATGACTGAATGTCTCAAATCTTCCAAATTTACTTTTCCCGTTTGGGAAGAAAAGGTCTTTAGCGCACTGTAATATGTCAGCTTTTTTTGATTCTTTGGGTATATCAAGGGTCCTTGTTCCCCCTCCTCTGCGTTTTCTTACTTGTTTACCTTCATGAATCCACCCCAACTCAACTTTTCTGGTCTTCTTTTCAGCCCATTTGTTGTTTGTTGCATGAGTTCTTTTCCGCTTTGGAGCAACAAAAGTCTCCTCTTGGTCAGTGTTCTTATCATCATTTCCATCAATGCCCATCTTTTTCTTTAGTTTTTCAAGCAGGGAATGTTTCCTGGATTCTTTTGTACTTGTACCTTTATTTTCCAAACAGAACCGTCTTGCTGCTATTCGATCTCCATATGCTGGAATGTAGCCAGCAAGAGTGTCATCATCCATTATGTCAATGACTGTGGCATCAATCTGTCAAGATAGACATAATTATTATAACTCAAGGACAAGACTGGAAACACCTGGATCATCCTCCAACCACACCCACATGCATGCACTCACACACACAAGCACTTTGTAACTCTGTTTAAAAAGTGCAAATTGTTTCATTAATTGCACTTGCACAAACATGTCACTGTACAATAAGAACCTAGCTGCAGTCATCTATAACATTTACAGCCCAAATTGTTTTATATCTATATTTGACATCATAATGATTCATTTAAAATACTCACATCATTTATTATTGATATATTGCTGACACATGAAAACTGTATTGTTTACACATGATGTGTGCATAAAAAAAATATTGTTTACCCAAGACGCATGTGTAACGTTGGCTACATTGTGCTGATGCTGGCTACTAAAGTGTGCCGGTGGGCACCGTTTAAAAATTCATGGTCACGGATTGTGAATGCGCACAGATTTGGAAGCCGGTGTTATGCCGAGTTTTGACTGCCTGCCGAGAATTGCATGCACCTCCAAATAATGCTTAAATATACGCTGTAATATTCTTTGTGGGCTTCATCAATGGTGACCTTCAGTAAATATATATGGCAATAAAGGTGTTTGATCAATAAGCAGACAAAGCAAAGTGTCTGAGAAGGACCTAAAGAGGTGGATGCATAATTCGGCAGATCAAATTTTGTAGGCTACCTGCCGAGATTTGCATCCACCTCGTTTCTCAGCATAAATGACCGTTAGCAACCGCGAGGTGCATGCAATTCTCGGCAGGCAGGCAGAATTCGGCACAACACCGGCAGGTTTTTACACATGGCTCCTTTTTCTCAACTGACCCCATAGGGGCTCAGTACTAACGTTAACCCCAACCGCGGAGGGTAACGTAACTAAACGTAACGTTACCGCTACGGTGGCGGGGGGCACACTGTAATGCCACTGCAACTGCCTACTGCCTACTTTCACTCTGGCCACGCAGTAAATCTCAACACTACGCAGCCGATGAATAGCTATTGGGTAACGTTAACGTTAACATGGGGGACTGTGTTACCCAGGGCTGGCTGGCTAGCTTGAAGTTAGCTAACATGCTATGCATAATATATTGGTAGGTCCAAGGAAGAAAGGCAAGGAAATACAGGTCTTACATTTAATGAGCTACGTAAAAAATACACTCAAATGTTACTTACATGTTCTTGTTCCATGTGTGAGAGGCACTCTTCTGATAAACCGCGATTTCGTAGAAATTTCAACAGTGGGGTATCCGTGTTGCGGGCCATTGTCATGCCAGTTCATCCTGGGAAATCCACCTCCACCCACATTATAACAAACAGTTTAAAGATAAATATATATTGATATAACAAGGAACTGTTCTTGTAATAACGTGATATGTTTTTATGTTGTAATAACGTAAAAAACATATTGTTATAACAATAAACTTATCATGTTATAACGTGAAAAATATGTTGTTATAACAACAAACTTTTCATGTTATAACATGATACTGATCTGCTTTTCTCTTTCTGCCATGGCATCAAGACGCTTCCGTAAGATGTGGCTTTTTTGAATTGGTTGGCAGTTATCTATATATTTATGAAATGTAAGGTTTGGTTTTGGGATTATATCTTTTTTTTTTTTTTTTTTTGTAATATTTTGCACGCTATTGGCATCTGCCCAGGGACTGCAGATGGAAATGAGCTTTTAGCTAAATCTGGTACAGTACATATATTGTGCATTGTTCCTGTTAAATAAATAAATAAATAAATATTGGCAATAGAAGAAAGCTATGAATTAATGAATTTTCCAAAATCGTTCAGCCCTACAGGCGAGGGGAAGACCTGTGTTAACATCTGTGAGGGGTTTCAATGCTGGATAAATCTACAAGATTTGAAAGGAAGGAAAATTGATGCTGAGGTTGCTCTGTTTCTGCTTGACAGGTGAGTAAAGTTAGCTTTGCTGTTCCACATAAACGACAGCTTCAGTATTACTGTCTTGTGTGTCTGTTGTCATGTTTGTGATGGTCCCGGCTGATTAGCTATGTTAGCTTTGCCGCAGTGGTCAGTGTGTGTGTGGAAGAGGAGAAATAGACGAAGCGCGTGTGTCTGAACGGAGCCCCGGTGAATAGAGAGAAACGGTCAGCTCCTTGTTCAGCAGTAAATGTACAGTACAAGTTACAGTGGCTGGTGAATAAAGACTGCAGCTTCACAGGACTAAAGAGGAGCTCCCGCTCCCGTGTGTTGCTGCTAACTGTTGAATAAAGTGAAGGAGGTTAGCCCCAAAGTTAGCACTGACTTCTCTGTGCTTCCCAACACTTATCAGTCACTGTATTTTTGTAAAAACTATTTCAAATAATTCGCTACTTTTTTACTCTGTTGTGTTTTGGATGCTGCGTTTGTATGCTTAAATGTCATTTGTTTGATGATGTTTGTTAACTAATTGTAACTATTGAAGTTCCTCTCGATAATCCTACCGATAAATAAACTAGACACTTTGTCTTAGATTTAGGCTTAGAAAAGTATTTTGCTGCAGTACATGTTTAAATATTGACAGGCTTGTCGTCACACCTTCTACAGTACTGCTAAAACATGCCCTCTTATCGAGGCTAACATGCTCTCGGACAGCAGACACTGTGGATTCTGCTGTATTTCAGCAGATTGGTTACCACCTAGTTGGATTCATAATAATACAAATAATACTCATTGCAGGTCATTCTTTATTTCAGCACTTACCCACAGGATGGTTTGGATGTGCGCACATTCTTCTGTGTTTAAACTAGATGTATATCAGAGCAGCAAACAAGGCACTCTTAAAACAATTTTGGCTCTAAGTGTGAGGTAGAAAGTGAAAATACTGCTGCACACAGAAACACACTGCATAATGACTTTTCAACATTTCATGTGAAACATGAAACATGTTAGGGAGTATTTTCACTTTTCAACTGATACTATATCGATGTCCCTTAGCAAGAGTTCAGCTTACATGTTTGATGTTTTACTACTGTAATCGGTGGCGGGTTTGGGGGGGAGCCCGTGCCTCAGAAGAGCCTTAAGACATTGATGATGCTTGAGTTTTCGGATAACGGCGTGTCTTTGGCGTGGCGTCAAAGTTCAATGCTTCGCTATGACACAGGAAGTTGTTGTAACTTCGCTGTACATGCTCATATCTCTACCAAATTTAATATATTTGATAAGGGTCACGCCCTAAACACATCTACAAGTCAAAATTCACTTCACCTCCTAGCGCCACCTGCTGGAATCAGGAAGTGTGCCTTCAAAGATGCAGGCCCTTCCTGTAAAATCCAGAATAGAATTTAAAATCATTCTTCTTACCTACAAAGCTCTTAATGGTCAGGCACCACCTTATCTTAAAGAGCTCATAGTACCTTACTACCCCACCAGAGCACTGCGCTCCCAGAATGCAGGGTTACTTGTGGTTCCTAGAGTCTCCAAAAGTAGACTAGGAGCCAGAGCGTTCAGCTATCAAGCTCCTCTCCTGTGGAACCAGGTTCCAGTTTGGGTTCAGGAGGCAGACACCATCTCCACATTTAAGAGTAGGCTTAAGACTTTCCTCTTTGATAAAGCTTATAGTTAGGGCTGGCTCAGGTGAGTCCTGAACCATCCCTTAGTTATGCTGCTATAGGCCTAGACTGCCGGGGGATTTCCCATGATGCACTGAGCTCCTCTCTCCTCTACTTTCTCTCCCTCTGTATGCAACCTCATCCCATTATTGCATGTTACTAACACAACTTCTCCCCTTTCTGTAGTCTCGTCCCTCTCCTCTCTCCTCCTATCACTTCCTGCAGGTTTTCTGGCTCTGGAGCTGTGGAGTCTGGATCTGTGGCTGCGGGTCACCTGCTGCCCCCGTGTTCCTGCTCGAAACCCTCTGCTGCAACTATTGTTACTAGTCTTATTGTTATTATTGTTATTATAATCATTAACATTACGATTGTTATCATTAACACTACTATAAATATCTGTACCATTATTCATTCAGTCTATAGCAACATCACCTTTACTGTCTGTACCTCTGTGTGTATATTGTAGGCTGCCCCCCTCCCTCCCCTTTCTCTCTCCTTCCATCCCTCTTTCTCTGTTCCTCTTTCTCTCTCTCTCTCTCTCTCTCTCTCTCTCTCTCTCTCCCCCCTCTCTCTCTCCTTCACCCCAACCGGTCGAGGCAGATGGCCGCCCACCCTGAGCTATGGTTCTGCTCGAGGTTTCTGCCTCTTAAAAGGAAGTTTTTCCTTGCCTCTGTCGCCTAGTGCTTGCTCTTGGTGGGAACTGTTGGGCTTCTGTAAATAACATCATAGAGTACGGTCTAGACCTGCTCTTTTATGAAAATCGCTCAGAGATAACCGTTGTTGTGATTTGGCGCTATATAAATAAATAAAATGTAATTGAAATTGAACAACAAACAACAACAACAATAATCATCAACAATATTCATACATTCAATATCTTTTTTGATGGTTGGCGCTGGCCCAAAAAAGATTGACAACCACTGCTCTAAGCTAATGTTACCGTTTTATTGCCAATTACTGATCAGCTGATTGTCCCGCTCACAACAAGGCTACATGAAATTAATCCAACTACATATTTACCACTTTTATTCACCACTGACTGGGGAAAAACGCCATGTCTCTCGGTGATTATGGCCAGCTTCTAAGCCTTCCATCTGGGAAAATCCACACCGACTCCTCTGGCTTCATGGTATAAAGATCCACATGCTGTCAGCTCTCATGCTAAATAACATGTGCACGTTCATTTGTTGAACGATGTTTGTTGTCGGCTATTGTAGAAACATGACGACAAAATACAGCGACCTCCACAGCAGGGGGTGCCCGCAATTATATAGATATAAATGGCTCATTCTAAGGTAATAAAAACATAACGGTTCATTATGTAAGGTCTTTATACACCACTGAAAACATAGTTATAAATATCATATTGCATTTCTGTCAATTCATTTTCAGAAATATTACACACTGAACCTTTGATGTTAGTCTTGACAAAATCTAGTGTTGCAAATTAATGTTACCAAATTTATATATTCTATTGTCAAACAGATAAATAGTTATTTTAAGGGCTATTGTATAGTTTCAGGTAACTTACCTCAAGTGTAAGCTGGAATTAAGTCACCACATGGCAGATGCTATGCACACATTTCCACCAGCATCAAGCCACATGGTGGCCGCGCCATCCAGTGGTCCACTGACAGCGAGAGGAACAAGGACAACTGACTCAAGTGCAGAGCTCTCCAAGAACCCATCAGAGCCTGCAACAGGCCCACAGACCAACAACACCGCTTCTCTTCCCCGGTGTGAGGGACCAAGCAGGCATGAGGAGTCAGAAAATAGGTTTCCAAAAATATAGGTTTTATTTACAAAAAACAAAAGAAACAACTCATTTACAAAAACTAGAAACTAGACTTTTATTATCCAACGAAGGTTAAAGTCAAGGGCAACTGGACTTGGTTGAAGATACTGGAAGACGTTTCGTCCCTCATCCAAAGGACTTCTTCAGTTCTGACTGACTGGCAGGGAAACTCAGCTATTTAACCTCAGTGGGGTCGTTTGCCAGGGTCATCGATACCGCTGGTTCGTTAGTGTTCCTGGTTGCTATAACGACAGTCGTTACAGTCGTTAGGACTGAACGACCATCATTGGTATCTTCACCTGAGGCCAATAGGTTACGTTTGGTGAGTTTCCTGGGTAACCTGGGTTTCCTGGGACGTTTTCAAGAATGCTATCAACAATCTGGATGAGTTTACAGAGGCTGTGACGTCTACATCAGCTTCTGTGAGGACAGCTGTATTCCAACACGGACCAGGGAGAGTTATAACAATGACAAACCCTGGTTTACAGCTAAACTCAGACAGCTAAGGTTGGAAAAGGAGGAGGCATTTAGGAGTGGAGACAGGGCCGGGTGCAGGGCGTTAAAGTACAGGTTTAGCAGGGAGCTGCGAGAAGCTAAAATACTGTACGCAGAGACTAAAGAACGAGTTCTCTACATACGACGCCACTTCTGTCTGGAGGGGGTTCAGACAGATCACAAACTATAAACTCAAAGTCCTCCACTCTATAAATGATCCTTGCCTGGCAAATGAGCTGAACCAGTTCTACTGCTGCTTTGAGAGTCAATCAGACACCATCCCCCGTGACTCCTCCGCTCAGCTTCAGCCTCACTCCACCACTTCTTCCCAGAGCTGGCCAGCTCCACCCCCTCCCCTCCTCTCTCCATCACAGAGAGGGAAGTCAATGGTCTTTTCAGGAGGCAGAAACCCTGCAAAGCAGCTGGGCCGGACTCTGTCTCCCCATCCCTGAAGCACTGTGCTGATCAGCTACGCCAGGATCCTGTTTGTGGATTTCAGCTCTGCTTTTAACACCATCATCCCGGCCCTGCTGCAGGACAAGCTCTCCCAGCTGATCGTGCCTAACTCCACCTGCAGGTGGATCATAGACTTCCTGACGGACAGGAAGCAGCACGTTAAGCTGAAGAAGTTCAGCCTGCCAAAGACAATGATGGTACACTTCTACACCACCATCACTGAGTCCATCCTCACCTCCTCCATCACCATCTGGTACGCTGCTGCCACTGCCAGGGATAAGGGCAGGCTGCAGCGCATCATTCGCTCTGCAGAGAAGGTGATTGGCTGCAATCTTCTTTCTCTTCTGGACCTGTACGCCTCCAGGACTCTGAGGCGAGCAGGAAAGATTGCAGCTGACTCCTCCCACCCTGGACACAAACTGTTACAGACTCTCCCCTCTGACAGGAGGCTGCGGTCCATTAGGACCAAAACATCTCGCCACAAAAACAGTTTCTTCCCATCTGCAGCTAGCCTCATTAACAAGGCCCGGGTCCCTCACTGACACTCCCCCCCTTGCAAATGATACAAATATCTCTGCACATGTAAATACTGTTTCATCTCGTGTCGGGCACAGACCTGGCACGTCGCACATATTTGTTGTTGTATATTTTTATGTTGTCAGTTTATATATTTATATTTACACAATATTGTCTTCCGTTGCGTTACTTCTGCACGGCACAGACCCAGAATAATGCACATGTATATATCTGCAACATTGTTCTTCCATTCCATATTTATATATTTCTACATTTATTTATGTTGACTGTATGTTTGTCTACATGTAGCACTTTATCACCACAGCAAATTCCTCGTATGTGTAAAACACTACTTGGCAATAAAGCTCCTTCTGATTCTGATTCACCAAAACAATTCCTTAATTATGTAAATATTGTACATATCCACACTCCTTATATTATTTTATATTTTACTCTGATATTTATATACTTCTCTATATACCACTATCTTTATTATATTCCTTTGCCCTTGTGCAATGTTTGAAAGTGTAACACAGAATTTCCCTTCGGGGATCAATAAAGTATTTCTAATTCTGAATTATATAGTGGCTGTCATTCAGGCCATCAGGCCATTCTTACACAAAGGGTGTAGACAAACATAATATATAAACAAACCCCAATAACTACAAACCATGTTAAGCCAATGCTACCTAATATGAACTAAAGGTAATCAATAAAAATTATTATAACAACAAAAGCCTAACTAGCAAAGAAAAGAACACAGCTCAAAATGGTAAACTCTGCCCCTCCCCATGATATGGGAGAACATTGTGCAATCCAATTATCCATCCCCTACTTAAACACCTTAGATTAAGTTGGACGTCCTTTTGTCAGCCAATCAGACACCCAGCAGCAACTCCCCAGGAACAGGTAACTCAAGAAGAGAAGTATTAATTTTAATTTTAAATTCATCCTATAGCTTAAAAAAAGCATTAAGATAGTAAAAATTACCCTGTGACACTCAACCCCATTCTGATGAAGTGCTTTGATAAACTGGTTCTTCAGCACATAAAGAACAACATCCTTCACCAATTTGCTTTCAGAACCAACGGATCCACAGAGGATGCCATTTCCACTGCCCTCCACTCAGCCCTCAAACACTTTTCTAGTGCTCAACACCAGAGCCCCCCAGGGCTATGTGCTCAGCCCCCTCGTGTTGATTCTGTACACCCACGACTGCATCCTCCAACATGAAGGGAACTCTGTTGTGAAGTTTGCAGATGACACCACCATCATCGGCCGGATTTCAAACAACAATGAGACTTCATATTGGGAGAAAATTCATCTCGCAGAGTGGTGCTCTGAGCACAACCTACTGCTCAACGTCAGCAAAACTAAGGAGCTGATCATTGATTTCAGGGAGAAGGAGATAAAGACACACACTCCTGTCTAGATCGGTGGAGCAGGTGAACAGTTTCAGGTTCCTGGGAATCAGCATCACAGAGAACCTGACATGGTCGTCTCACATCTCCACGCTGCTGAAGAAAGCTCAGAAACCACTGGATTTCCAGAGGAA